AGTCTATAGGCTGATTTGGTTTCTACACAAGAGAAAAACGGACATCCTGCCATGAGCTTAGTTTAATGCGTTATCATCTTCCTGACAAGCTAATGCTGCTCTCTCGGAAGGGGGTCTCCCCTGGGCAGGGAGCCAAAGCCCCACACGGCTCAACGCAGATCCCTTTGGAGAGACGGAGCAGGATTAACACAACACACGTTCCTTGCCCAGACCCAATGCCCTCCTCACCGGATCTGTGCACGCACACCAACTCAGTGGAAGCAAGCAGGACCGACCCACCAAAGGGCAAGGCTAAGGTGTCTTCTTCTTAAGTGTAGGTTAAGATGAAGTGGATTATGCCTCCCTTCCGTGAAAAGCCCTTGATCTTCTTTCTGGGGCTGCTTCTCGGATTAACTCCTCTCTTTAACACATTTGTCTGGGTGACGTTTTGATCCCAGAACACCACATCCCCAAAGCTGGGAGGAAGCTGAGGGCTTAGTCGCACCATAGAAATCAAGCCTTCATCACCCCTCTACGGTGGCAAAAAAAGTCCCCAAAAAGTAGTTGCAAGATGGTATTCAGGCTCTGAAGAGTCTGGAAGTAGCGCTGTTTCTTTTTATACTACGTTTGGCTCTTTTTTTTTTTTTAAATACAAATTTCAAACTGGGACACTGGGACATTCCTTACATTCTCGATTGCCTGTGGCACTCTGACAACTTTCCTTCTTTCACCTTTGCTATACACTCTTAATTATCCAGCCAAAACTAATAGAAAATATTTCCCACATACATACAAACAAAGGATTGAGGCATATTCCTTCCAGATATAATTTAGTTGTGGTTTTAACTGCATATATCCCAACACGATATCTACAAGAAAAAGAATGTAATCTTTCTGGAGTTACACTTACAAAAGAACCCTCAATACCTATATTACTTCTTTGCTTCCAATTTGTTCTGACTCCCACAAGAATCACGTATAACACCACTAACATGCCTGCGTTACACAGTGATGGATCTGAATGACTTTGAAATACTCAAAGCAACAGATTTGCCACAATGCCGCGTCCCTTGGGGTCCTCTCTGAAAAGAAAATCACCAGAGGAAGTGCTATAGCAGAAACACAGGAGTCAGCTGAGCACGTGCAAGTCCACCTGTTTCCCAACAGATGTTTCAAATATTTTATTTGTGAACCTGCTACCAAGGAGAAAAAGGAAAGTCCATCAGGAGTTAAAAGAAACTCTCACAACATCATTAATTTCTTAAATTTGACTCCATTGTAATTATATTGAATTCTAATATTTATTAATGCTTATTATAGCTTATCTGGGATGTTGCAATTTATTCATCTACACAAAATTGTGAAATTAAGAGTTTCTCATGTTACCTGGCACACCACACAATCACACTAATAACAACACAATTTAGACTGCGACTCACAAACAGAAGACTGAACAGCTTCATGCATCTCTCATACTGCTTTCTCCTTCAGCATGGGCCATCCCTCACCAGTTTTATAGCTAGAAATAAGGGTTATCTAACCGAAGGAGGGTTTTACACTGTGACTATTACCAAGGCACAGGTGAGCTGAGCAGCTGATAAAAGGTAGAAAGGATATTTTTTTCCTCTGATGCTAAACAGATGGCCTCAACAACTGTTTTTCTGCTTAATCTCTGTTCAGTGTAGTCCTGCTCACCCTGAGAAACAAACCAATGGCAGATTCACAATAACAGCAGTAAAGAACTAATGACCGTGTTATGAGATAGATACACAGTCCAGCAGGCTTCAGCAGGGATTTCCACTCACACTATCATGTCAAAACTTGCTTACTGCATCTTTTTTTTTCCCCTGTGACTCTACAAGTCTCCCTTCTTCTTCCGTATGTCTCCAGGATCTGAGAGACAACTTGGAAAAACAGCGCTGCAATTTGTTCCTTATGCAGCAAGTACTGCTACAGTTGTCAATAAACTAGGCTTTTGGGGACACAGAGCAGTTGTCTTATCAAAATACTTCACATGTAAGTGCTTAGTATATAAAATATATCTTTTAGAAGTAATATTTCTGAAATGTGTTTTATCCCAACACCTTGGGCATGCAGAATATATCTCTGTGGACAAAGATTAATTTCTCATTCAGTGACACTTCATATTATCACTGCTTTCCTTTGATACTTTGTGCTTTAAACTGGTGTTTAGATATCACTTGTTCAAGGGAGCAGAGTGACTGCGAAACAAGCCCAAATCTGGACAACTCAGACATTTGCCAGTAGGAGAACATACCCTTACCTGAGCATGACTATGTTCAATCCAGTTCACAGGCCAGAGACTAGTACTTCTGGCTCAGGTAGTTGAAATACCCAAGCATTTCAGTAACAGCCCACTTTCCTGGAAGAGCTGGTCTGTCAGAACTGGCAAGCTCAGGGCTTGGAATAACAGGAGAGAGGCAGGATGTACTGAGTATAACTGGGAAGTTGCAAGGATGACAGAAATGAAAAGTCATATTTTATGTATCAGAGAACAAAATGCAAAAAGAGGACTTTGAGGCTTTTCTTGTAGCAGCCCCTATTTAATCAATCAGGCTTATAGGCTTAAAATTTTTCAGTAGTGTTTCTAAGGAAGATGCCAAGTATTAGCAACCTCCATGTGAATATGTAGCATTACGCACATGTAAACAAAGCACATACATACAAACCTCCATCGCATGCTGAGCAGCCCCTCAAAACCTGAGGGACTGTCTCTAGCTGGATGAGCAAATGTTTATTGGATGATTCGGGTACCCTGGATCGCAAAAGAGCTACTATCTTCTGGTCTAGTGGGGAACACAAGCACTTGTGGAACGTGCGGGAAATGAAATGAGGCCACTCTTCTGGTCACAAATGACACCGAGGCCAGGATTCACTTAACCTTCCTTTTCTACAAGTTTGACAAATATATATGTACGTATTTTATATACTATTATGGGGGACTCAGTTGTACTGTGACCAGTACAGTGGCTATAGACACACAAAAACACCTCAAAAAGGCAATTTGCCCCACACGTCTTAGACACCTACCGCTTGATGGAGAAGGCACTTTCCATGGGAACCTATTTCTCTCCATCAGCTGCAGAGAGCTGGAACAGCTGCCTCGTGTGAGGCCGCTGACTTTTAAACAGTTGAAGTCAAATGAGGAGAGACTGTTTCCACCTCTAAAAGAGCCGATGAGTCCGTACTGAACTGGAATTACCCTTCCGGATCTTCCTTTTAGGCTTTTTAGATCAAAAGCTATCAGGCAGGAAAGCACCTCATGTTGCCTCCTGTGCAGACACCTATCAAGGGATGTCTCATTAAACAAGGCATCATTTAAGTGTCAAGCTTGATCAAATTACAGGAGCCTGTGACAGTGTTTTGGGAAACAGCCGCTCACCCCGGCACTCGAGGAACTTCTGGATTGCTTTGAACAGCGTGTGATTAACACACATGTGTCACAGGTGACCGCGAGCGGCAAAACTGCTCTCACACACCGGGAGAGCCTAGTCTTGGCCACGACTGCACGTTTTGGCCATAAATCACACGAATGTGAAAAAGCACAGCTCTCCAGAACGGTTGGAAGAGAGCATGGGCTCAGTGGGCCATGAGACCCACGAGACGTGCCCCGCTCAGCACATCAGATGCAGGGGGCTCTGGAGGACACAGGCGGAGGGTCTGGAGTTTGGCGCGGAACACACCGCACA